AGCCTCTGTCGCTCAAGAGAAAACAACCTGAGATTTTCCAGCATCTCCTTATAACTCATACCCTGTGATCCAGGCAGCATCGTGGTAAACCTCTGCAAAGCCTTCACATTCTTCCTGCAATGCAGCAACCAGAATTGAACACAATACTCTAAGTGCGGCCTAACCAAAGTCTTATAAAGCTGCAACATGACTTCCTGACTCTTGTACTCAATTCCCCAACCAATAAAGGCAAGCATGCCATATGCCTTCTTTACCACCCTATCTACTCGAGTGGCCACTTTCAGGGAGCTATGGACTTGAACCGCAGGATCCTTCTGTACATCAATGCTGTTCAGGGTTCTGCCATTAACTGTATACTTTTCCTTAACATTTGATCTCCCAAAGTGCAGCACTTCACACTTACCCAGATTAAACTCCATTTGCCATTTCTCCACCCATATCTGCGACTGATCTATATCCCAATGTATCCCTTGACAACCTTCTACACTATCCACAACTCCACCAATATTTGTATCATCTGCAAACATACTAACCCACCCATCTACATTATCATCCAAGTCATTTATATATATCGCAAACAGCAGAGGCCCCAGTACGGATCCCTGCAGAAAACCACCAGTCACGGACCTCCAGCCTGAAAAACACCTCTCCATCACTACCCTCTGTCTTCTATCCCGTAGTGTATTTTCCCGGGTAGTGCTTTGACTAATAGTGTTGACTGATGTGAAGTAAAACAAAATCTTGGGGGCTAACTTTTCCCTCGTACATTCTTCCCAACAATGTCTCAGTCAACTGGAGTCGACTAATAAACTAATCAGCAGTGTCTGTCTTCTCACACAGCATAAATTATTATTTCCCTCTGAAATTTGGTTTTTTTTTCTATTACAGGACAAATAATTTTGACAGCATATCACTGTTTCCAGTCATATTAAACTAATTATTTGGACTTCTTTGAGGAATTAACAAACAAGGTGGATGTAGGTGATATGTAGATGTGATGTACTTGGATATCCAAAAGGCATTTGATAAGGTGCCACATCAAAAGGGTAGTAGACAATCTAAGAAAACATGGTGGAGAGAATAACATATTAGCACAGAAAAAAGATTGGTTAGCCAACAGTAAAGAATAAGTCAGGATAAATTGTTCATTTTCAGGTGATGTTCTGAAACCAGTGCCACAAGGATCAGTGTTGGATCCTCTAGCATTTACAGTCTATATCAATGACTTGAGAATATAACTAAATTTGCTGATGACTCAAGGCAGGTAGGAAAGCACATTGTCAAGATGACACAACAAGTCAGATTAAGTGAGTGCCAGATCAGCTGAGCTTTTCCAGCAACTTTGTTTTTGTTCCTGATTTACAGCGTCCACAGTTCTTTTAATTTTTATTTGGTTAAGTGAGTGATTTGATTTCATTTCATTTATTGCAGTCATGGGTACCTAAGTACAGTGAAAAGACCATAAGACCATAAGACATAGGAGCAGAAATTAGGCCATTCGGCCCAACAAGCCTGCTCTGCCATTCAATCATGGCTGATAAGTTCCTCAACCCCATTCTCCCGCTTTCTCCCCATAACCCTTGGTCCCCTTGATAATCAAGAACCTATCCATCTCAGTCTTAAATGTACTCAATGACCTGGCCTCCACAGCCTTCTGTGGCAGTGAATTCCACAGATTCACAACTCTCTGGCTGAAGAAGTTTCTCCTTATCTCCGTTCTAAAAGGTCTTCCCTTTACTCTAAGGCTGTGCCCTCGGGTCCTAGTCTCTCCTACCCATGGAAGCATCTTCCCAGCATCCACTTTGTCCAGACCATTCAGTATTCTGTAAGTTTCAATTAGATCCCCCCTCATTCTTCTAAACTCCAATGAGTATAGTCCCAGAGTCCTCAAACGTTCCTCATACGTTAAGCTTTTCATTCCTGGGACCATTCTCGTGAACCTCCTCTGAACCTGCTCCAGGGCCAGTACATCCTTCCTGAGGTATGGGGCCCAAAACTGCACACAGTACTCCAAATGTTGCCTGAGCAGGGCCTTATAAAGCCTCAGTAGTACATTCCTGCTTTTATATTCAAGTCCTCTCAAAATAAATGCCAACATTGCATTTGCCTTCCTGACTGCTGACTCAACCTGCAAGTTTACCTTGAGAGAATCCTGAACTAGAACTCCCAAGTCTCTTTGCACTTCAGACTTCTGAATTTTCTCCGCATTTAGAAAATTGTCTATGCTTTTATTCTTCTTACCAAAGTGCATGACCTCACACTTTCCCACGTTGTACTCCATCTGCCACTTCTTTGCCCACTCTCCTAACCTGTCCAAATCCTTCTGCAGTCTCTCCAACTCCTCAATACTACTCGTCCCTCCACCTATCTTTATATTGTTAGCCAGAATGCCCTCAGTTCCTTCATCTGGATCATTAATGTATAAAGTGAAAAGTTGTGTCCCAACACTGACCCTTGTGGAACTCCACTTGTCACCGGCTGCCATCCTGAGAAAGACTCTTTTATCCCCACTCTCTGCTTTCTGCCAGACAGCCAATCTTCTATCTATGCTAGCACCTTGCCTCTAACACCATGGACCCTTATCTTACCCAGTAGCCTCCTGCGCTGCACCTTGTCAAAGGCCTTCTTGAAGTCCAGGTAGATAACATCCATTGGCTCTCCTTGGTCTACCCTGTTCGTCACTTCCTCAAAGAATTCTGGCAGAGTTGTCAGGCATGACCTCCCCTTGATGAAACCATGCTGACTTTGCCCTACTTTACCATACACTTCCAAATATTCAGAAGTCTCATCCTTTACAATGGACTCCAAAATCTTACCCACGGCCGAGTTAGGCTAATTGGACTGTAATTTTCCATCTTTTGCCTTATCCCTTTTTAAACAGGGGTGTCACATTAGCAATTTTCCAGTCCTCTGGGACATTCCCTGACTCTAGCAATTCCTGAAAGATCACCACTAACGCTTCCAATATCTCTTCAGCTATCTCCTTTAGAACTCTGGGGTGTAGTCCATCTGGTCCAGGTGATTTATCCAACCTCAGACCAATCAGTTTTACTAGCACCTTTTCCTTGGTGATGGCCACCATACTCAGCTCTGTCCCCTGACTCTCTTGAATTTTTGGGAGATAAGTCACGTCTTCCACCGTGAAGAATGACGCGAAGTTATTATTCAGCTCCTCAGCTATTTCCTTATTCCCCACTACCATCTCTCCACCGTCATTTTCCAGTGGTCCAATGTCCATTTTTGCCTCTCTTTTGCCCTTTATATATTTAAAGAAACTCTTACAGTCTTCATTTATATTACTGGCTAGCTTACCCTCATATTTAATCTTCTCCATCCTTTTTTCTTTTTTTGTTGCCCTCTGATTAGTCTTTGTAAGCTTCCCAATCCTCTGGTTTCCCACTGCCTTTCGCCACATTATATGCTTTCTCTTTTGCTTTTATGCTATCCCTGACTTCCGTCGTTAGCCATGGTTGCCTCATCGTCCCTGTACCATGCTTCTTTTTTCTAGGGATGAAATATTGCTGCGTCTCCTGAATTACTCCCAGAAACTCCTGCCATTGCTGTTCCACTGTCTTTCCTGCTAGGCTCCTCTTCCAGTCAATTCTGCCCAGCTCCTCCCTCATACCTCTGTAGTTGCCTTTATTCAGCTGTAATATCATTACCTCAGATTCTATCTTCTCCCTCTCAAACTGCCGAGTAAATTCTATCATCTTATAATCACTGCCTCCTAAGGATTCTTTCAGCTTAAGCTCCCTTATCAAGTCTGCCTCATTGCACAACACTAAATCCAGTATCGCCTGTTCCCTTGTGGGCTCCACCACGAGCTGCTCCAAAAAGCCATCTCGTACACATTCCACAAACTCCTTTTCTTGCAATCCACTACCAACACTCCACCTGCATATTGAAATCCCCCATGATCACTGTCACCTTGCTTTGTTTGACAAAAAGCTTTGTTTTTGCAAGCAGTACAGGCAGATTATAGCAAACGAGGACATACAGATCATAAAGTGCTTAGACAGAGCAAGGCATATAGGTTATAAAGTGGCAATTGGAGTTTAATGTGAACTCTTCATATTGGCAGAATGACTAGAAAAGCAAATTACTGTTTAACTGGAGAGAGATCACAGAACAGGGTAGAAAAGAAGGATCCTGGTGTCCTATTATATGAATCACAACAAGATTGTTTACACGGGCAATCAATAATTATGAAGTCAAAGTGATGTCAGTATGTCATGGAAGGGGAATGGGATATAAAAGTAACTGTTGCAGCTGTACGTGGACTTGATGAGACCATATGTAGAGTACTGCATACAGTTTGGGTTTTCACATTTGAGAAAAGGGGATGATTGTGTTAGAGGCAGTCCAGAGACAGGATGAAGGGGTTTTCTTAAAGGGAACTATGTATCAGGTTGAATCGATACCAACTGGGGTTTAGAAGAAGCACGTAAGATCCTGAGGGGACTGGATTGACTGAACACTCAAAGGATGTCTTCTCTTCTAGGGAAGACTAGAACTAGTGGACACAGTGCACGAATGTGAGTAGCCCCCTTTTAAGACAGAGATGAGGTGATTTTTTTCCCCTCCCTTAATCTATGGAATTTTCTTTCCCAGAGGCATTGTAAGCTAGATCATTGAGTTTAGACTTCTGATTCACAAGTGAGTCAAGGGTTACGAGGTGCTGACAGGAAAGAGAAGTTGAGACCAGCCTTGATCTTATAAAATGTCAAATCAGTCTCAAAAGACCTACTCCTGCTCTGACGTCCTATGTTCCTAGGTTAAGTGTTTGCGATTCATTATCATCTACTCTGCTGTTGCTGAAGATCAATTTCATTCCAAGGTCTCAAACCCAGTATGAACATACCTTAAATATCACAAATAAATTGTACACTCGGCAAACAAGATATGGAAAACTTGCTCTGTATACAATTCCCACCATTGTCACTGTTGCTAAACTCAAGTATAAAGAAAAATTAAACACTTTATCAAAAGAACGCTCAAACCTCTCTGTCAACAGCTTCTTTAACAATTACATCGCCGCTGCTGCCGTTCACCATGAAGTAACGTGATGCTAATTCTCCTTCCAGCCCATACAAGAGTGGGTCACCATCTTTATCATCAGCTGATATCCGGAAAACAGACGTACCTGAGATGAAAACATGAAATGCCAATATTTATTGTTATACTGGTCAAAGCACAGAAATACAAAGGAGATGACTAATACAGCGGTGGAAATGATTGAAGAGGAAGAAAATGGCGATCGTTTAAACTAGACAAACAGATAGGAAAATAAAGTAAAAGGTAACAATGCGAGCTGTGAAAAGGACAGAAATTACAAGGAAAAGTCTATAGAGTTTATAGTTAGACTTTATAGAGTTTCTTCATGTTTCAATGTTGGCGACTTATCCATTCTTACACTAGCCTGAAGTAATGATAGTGATGATTAAAACCATCCCAACAGCAGAGAGTGAGTTCTGTAAAACATTATATGAAATGGGATGAGTTTTGCACTCACTGGTGTAGTGGGAGTGAGCCTTCCAGCTGCCTACGTATTACACTTCCTTCTGGGCACTGATTATGAATGTTGAATGTGTCAGGAACAGTGTAACTCAGGAGGGAAGAAAATTGATTGTTTTCAAAAGCTGCAACAAGATAAGTGGGGATTTGACTGTTTTGGACGACAGGACGAGCAAGTACATGAAATTTGATGGAGCAGCAGAGGAGGTTACAGCGATGGTCAACATGTTTAGAATCAGGAGTTGGCCATTCAGCCCCTTGAGTCTATACTACCCTTCAACAGCTGCTTATATCCCTTTGCTACTTCCTGTTCCCATCAGCACGACTTTTTCTACTTTCTAACTAGATATCATCAGTAACTTATACATACAGCTTTTTTTATTTGTTCAACAAATAGGGCATCACTACAGGAGCTCCTCAGGGTAATATTTTTCTAATCAACAAGTTGAGAGATGTTATTACACATTTCTGGAGCAGGCAGGACTTGAAACTGGGGCTCCTAGCTCAGAGGCTGTGACACTACCACTGTGCTAGAAAAATTCCTTAGTTCCTCAAGGTTGTGTCCTAGGCCCAACTGCCTTCAGCTGTTTCATCAATGATTTTCCCTCCATCAAAAGGTCAGATGTGGGGATGTTCGCCAATGATTGTACAATGTTTAGTACCATTCACGACTCCTCAGATACTGAAGCAGTCCATGTTCAAATGCAGCAAGATTGGGACAATATCCAGGCTTGGGCTGACAAATGACAAGTAACATTCATGCCACGCAAATGCCAGGCTATTACCTCACCCAATAAGAGAGAATCTAACCACCTTCCCTGGACACTCAATGACATCACTGTCACTGAATCCTCCAATATCAACATTTTGGGGGATTAACAATGACTAGAAATTAAACTAGACTAGCCATAGAAATTCTGTGACTACAAGTGCAGGTTAAAATCCTGCAATTCATCTCCCGACACCTCACCACCAATGCACAGTAGCAGCAGAAACAATGAAGATATGAGATGTGAGTCGGCTCCAACAAACTGGGTAACTTCATTAAAAAGCATGGCACTGAATAGGTAATAAGGAACGGATGCATGCATTGCAACAGTTATATATTCAGTTTGGACAAAAGAACACAACAGACCCAACCATAGTTAATAAACGAAATTATGGATAGCATCAGATCCAAAGAGAACCCTTAAGTTGCTGGAAGATGTAGCAAGCCTAAGGACTGGCATCAGCTTAGAATTCAGCAAAGGAGATTGAAGAGGGTTTCTGAAGAAAGGTCGCTGGACCCGGAATGTTAACTCTGATTTCTCTCCACAGATGCTGTCAGACCTGCTGAGTTTTTCCAGCAATTTCTGTTTGATTAAGAAGGGAGTATGAGAGCAAATTTGTAAGGAACATAAAAGCAGACTAAAAGATTTTATATAAGTTTGTAAAAAGAAAAAGATTAGTGAAGATAAATATAGGCCCCTTATAATCTGGAACAGGAAAATTGATAACAGGGAACAAGAAAATGGCTGTGCAATACATTAATTTTGTTCTGTCTTCATACAAGAAGACACTAAAAACTTTCCAAAAGCTGTAGTGGAGCAAGGATTGTCAAGGAGGAATTGAAGGAAATGAATATTAGTAATAAAGAAAATGGTGCTGGAGTAATTAAGGGGAATGAAAGCTGATAAATCTCTAGGGCCTTATACTCTACGTACCAGGATACTGAAGGAAATGGACATGAAAATAATGGGTGGGTCAGTTGTCATCCTTTAAAACTCTCTAGATTCAGCAACAATCCTGGCTGATGTAACCAAATATTCAAAAAGGAGGGAGGGAAAAAAGTTCAGGAATTACAGACCTAGTCTAATATCAGAAGTGAGAAAATGTTGGAGTCTATCGTAAAGGATGTGATAGCAAGACACTTAAAAAAAACCAACAATATTACGTAGAACCAACCTAGATTTCAGAAAGGATATTCGTGTTTGACAAATCTACTTGAGTTTTTTGAGAATGATATCACTTCACCTGATATTGAGAAAAGGGTGAAGATATTGGATATGGCAAAGTCTATGGGCCCTGACAACATTCTGGCAATAACACTGAAGACTTACGCTTCAGGTGTGCCACTCCCTTAGCCAAGCTTTTCCAGGACTGTTACAACACTGGTATGTAACCAACAATGTAGAAAATTGCCCAAGTATGTCCTGGGCACAATAAAAAGACCAAATCCAATCCAACTAATTACTATACTATTTGTGTACTCTCAAACATCAGCAAAGAGATTGAATGCTTCATGAACAGTGCTATCAAGTGGCACTTGTAAAGGAATAACTTTCTCACTGAATTCCATCAGGGCTCCTGACCTCATTATTGCTTTAGTTCAAACATGGCAAAAGAGCTGAATTCCAGAGGTGAGGTAAAGTGAGAGTGACAGCCCTTGACACCCGAGTATAGGATGAAAGAACCCCCGGCCAAACTGGAGTCAATGGGATTCAGGGGATAATTCTTCACTGGTTGGAGTCATACCTGACACATAGGAAGATGGTCGTGGTTGTTAAAGATCAGTCATCTCAGCTCCAGGACATCTCTGCAGGAGTTCCTCAGGTAGTGTCCTGGGCCTAACCATCTTTAGTTGCTGCATCAATGACATTCCCTCAATCATAAGGTCAAAGTGGGAATGTTTGTTGATGATTGCACAATATTCAGTGCCAATTCGCAACTCCTCAGACACTGTGTCATTATGCAATAAGACCTGGGTTACAGCCAGGATTGGGCTGAAAAGTGGTAAGTAGCATTTGTGCCACACAAATGCCAAGCAATGGCCATTTCCAACAAGAGAGAATCTAACCACCTCCTTTTAATGTTCAATGGCATCACCATCACTGAATTCCCTGTTAGCAACATGCTGGGAATTGTCATTGAACAGAAACTGAACTGGAATAGCCTTATAAGTATTTTGGCCAGAAGGAAAGGCCAGAGGCTGGGAATAATGTAGCAAACAAATAATCTCCTTTCGTCCCAAAGACTGTCCACCATCTAGAAGACACAACTTAAGGGTATGATGGAATACTCCTCCCTACTTCCCTAGTTAGGTGTAAATCCAACAACACCAGAGAAGTATATCATTTTCCAGAAAAATGGAGTTCGCTGGTTTGGCAAACCACCCACTATTCATTCCCTCCACTCCCAATGCATAGTGGCAGCAATGTGTATCATTTACAAGATGCACTGCAGCAACCAACCAAGGGTCCTTCAATTTTATTTTCTATCACTTAGAAGGACAAGGGTATCAGATGCATGGGAGTACCACCACCTGTAAGTTCCATTCCAAGCCACACACCATTTTGAGTTGGAACTATATTGCTGCCCCTTTAGTGTTACAAAGGGCAATAAATCTAACCAGTGATGCCCACATCCCATGAAGTAATAGAAGAAAAACTCAGTGTCACTGATTTTACACAGTGCTACAGAGACATTGCCCTCTTAGTGTTACATCAATAACCTACTACAGCACGTAAAATAGATGAGGGATATATTGACTGATCAACTGTTCTGTAGAATTCTAAAGAAGACATATCGGACTGAAAATGTTAACTGTTTCTCTTTCCGTAGACATCGCCCAGACTGTTAAGTTTCTCCTGCATTTCCTATTTTCCTTTTAGAATAATTATTCAATTGATTTTAGTTGATTGCTCCAAATGTGACATCAAAGTCAAAATTAATATTTTTCGACAGAAAACAAGTAAGTACTTAGAGCATTATATATAAATTTCATCGACTTATATTGTCTTACCTGGTGGAGCAGCTTCAGTTACACGCACAACAGTCATATTTGCCTTAAATGTTGGAGCCATATTTTGTGACCAAATTAACGCAGGCTTTTCTGTAGAATAGCAAATAATGATATTCAACAAGATTGCTTACATTTTAGGCATATCTCAAACAGTATACATTCCATGATCCATGGAATACATTGAATGACTTTAGTTGAAGTTTAATAACTCTGAGCCTTCAGAATGCCTCACTGCTCATCAGACACTTCCAGGTTGCATATTTTTAAAAATAGAAGTAGTATAAAGCTGCTTCAGAGATAGTAG